CGCGGCCCGTGCCCGTTCGGCCAGTTCGTGGAGCCCGTGCACGGCACGCGCTACGGCCGCTGCGCGGATAACCCGTGCGAAGAGGACGGCATGCTGCCGTGGGCTGGCCGCTGCTGGCGCCGCGGCGAGTTCTGCTCGGCCGAGGACCGCGACGACGAGGCTGACGAGGCGCCGACGGCGACGGCCGGGCGCCGGGCGGAGCTAACCACCGGCGAGGGTGAGCTGCTGGCGCCGGTGGCCGGCGTCGCGGTCCGGCGGTCCATCCAGCCGCGGCGCGGTTTGGTCACAAGAAGGCGCTCCACCGCACCGCCGCCGGCCACCACGCCCACAGAGCCGACGCAGCCGACGCCGGCTCCGGCGCGACGACGGCCCGCCCTCTGCCGCGGGTCACCCGTGAAGAAGACGGCGACTTCCGCGCCCGCGACGGACAGCCCGCCGCGCGCGTCCGAGGACGCCGCCGCGGCGACAACACCGGCCGCGACCACGGCCGCCGCTACCGACTCGTCGGCGCCCACCGACACCACGTCGGCGGCGCCGGAGACGACCACCCGGTCGTCGTTGCCGCTGCACCTGCAGCATCTCCTCGGCAAGACGCCGCCGCCGCCCGATCGCGACGAGCTGGCGTTCCTGTGGGAGCACCTGCGGCCGGACCGGATGTTCGGCGTGGCGCCACCGTCGTCGCCGGCCGGGCCGCCGTCGGCCGCCACCAGCGAGGCGCTGATCGCGCGCCGCTCGCTGCTGCCGCCGCCGCCGCCCGACAAGGGCCTGCTGGATATCCTCGGCCTGCAGGCGTTCCACGGCCAGGCGTCCGAGCCGTCCGTCTCTAGCATCCCGGCGCCGATGCTGCGGGCCGTCCAGTACACCTTCGACGGCAAGGCGATCGCCAACCCGCTGTTCCGCGACCGCCGGAGCGCCCGCATCGACCGCGAGCGCGGCGCGCCCAGGGTCGCGCCGCGCATCGTCGTGCACCCGCAAAAGCGGAGCGTGCGGTGCTCCGACGCCGTGCTCTTCTCGGACGAGGAGAGCTTCGCGCACTACAAGTGCCGGCCGGGCTCGCGGCGCGACGTGCTCGGCGAGTGCCACCACGAGGGCCCCACATGGGTCGACGACCACCCGAGCCAGTGCCCGTTCGGCATGCGGCACAACCTGCTAACCGGCAAGTGCAAGCCGGACACGTGATGCGGCCGGCGGCGCCAGGACGCGCCGGCCGACAGGCCGAGCCGGCAGCACGAACGGACGCACATCAGCCGGCGGCGCCCGGCACCATGGCGTGCCCTCACCATTGCGGGTCGGACCGGGTCAGTGCATCGTATTTAACTGAGCGGGATCGTATTTAAGCAGCGTGAGCGTGTGAGCTGACGCGGGCGTTTGACTCCGACGAAGGCGGCCACTCCCGCCGCACCTCCGGCCTCCCCGGGCTCAAAGCACTGAGATACTCGGCGTCGGATGGAGGCTTGACGTTACCTGAGTCCCGGTGTTCGCGTAGTTTACCACATAGTCATTCCGATCACCCCTCTTTTACCAGGAGGTCATGGCGGCGGCGGCAGCCCGGGCCGCCGCTGCAGGAGCATGCCGCTGCGAACGCACACTTCGGAATGTCTGTCGCTTTTTGTGCGATTTCAGGGAGGATGTGTGGACATCTGTTTGCTAAGCCATGTAGTGAAACGTTGTGCGCTCTTTGTTCCATGTTATCATAATATACAACGACGTTTGATGGAGGACAGCGTTTTCGTCAAGGCCAGCGCTCCATGGATACACCGATGAAAGTGATGTCGGTTTTCCCAACGATGGCAGAAAGCCCCCGGCGCTTTTTTCTCGCCAAAATGCAAGAGATCCTTGATCAATCCCGTCAAAGAACATTATCATCAACATCCATCATTCGTGTTTCGTGTGCAAGTCCCGTTCAGAATTCCACGTTCAGGAATAACCACCCATTCATAAAATACAGCCAGCTCAGGGCGGAATCCACACCCACGCGCCCAGCCCAGCCACCCCGAAGGCCGTGCGTGATGCGCCCTCCACTGGGCAGCGCACGGCTATCAAAGTGGCCCCAGCACACACCGAGCGCGACGGTCTGGAATGAGCCCGGCGGCCGCAAATGAGGCGGCACCACCGCAGACATGCGCCGGCCGTACATGGCCGCGATTAGCAGCGCTTCCCCCGGCGATATCCGGTTACGGTGCCGGGATAATCCGGCTTCTGGTCTTGCCAACCACTCGGCTCGTGCCCTCGCTAAGCCGAGTGTCTGCTGAAAGCAGCAGCCGAGCCGAGCCGAGCTGAGCCAGGTAGAGTTCGAGCCGAGCCGAGCCGAGCCGAGCCGAGCCGAGCCGAGCCGAGCCGAGCCGAGCCGAGCCGAGCCGAGCCGAGCCGAGCCGAGCCGAGCCGAGCCGAGCCGAGCCGAGCCGAGCCGAGCCGAGCCGAGCCGAGCCGAGCCGAGCCGAGCCGAGCCGTGGCGAGTCGAGTCGAGCCGGGCCGAGACGAGCCGAGCGTCCTGCTCGCCAGTCTCTCCTCGCCGCCGTTCGACGACCTCAGCGCCGGAGAAATCCGCCCGGCGCCGCCGCTGGGGCTGCCGGCGCGTGCTCCGCTCGTGACCGCCAGCGGCGGCCGGCGAGAGCGGCGCGTCGGTTTTCTCCGGCCGGCTGCGCGGCCGCCTGCGCCGGTCGGGCCGGTTGGGCGCCCATTCACTGGCGGGGCTCAGCGGCGCGGCCGGCGGCTGACGCAGCAGGCCAACCACAGCCCACACCGGCCACCGAAAAAAGGTGACAAGCGGACAAGTCCCGTCGCCGCGAGAGGCGCCTGCGCGCGTCACTGGCCGCCGCGGCGCAGCGGCATTGCGAGAAGGGGCGGGGATCATTGGCCGGCCGCCCGCCGGCGTCTGGCCGCGGCTGGCTGGCGACGCGCGGCGGCAGATTCCTCCAGGTGGTGACTGCTGCTGCCGGGCAGCGGACGCGAGCGCCTTGGAAATGTCCGCGCGGGCGGATGCCTACGCAACCAAACCTAGACGGTTAAAAGAAACGCGAGAAAAGAACGCCTGACACCATCGCGTTCGTGCCAGGGAGAGACGAGCTGTGCCGGTGACAGGCTGGGTCTAGTTCCGGCAGTGGCGATCACGCCCAACGCCGTACAAGGCCCGTTAGCCTTCGACAAGCTGAGTGGTAGTAGTGGCAGGCGCATTGCATGCTCACTCGGCCGCAGCCGGGAGCGGGGAGCGGTACTGGATGGGGCGGCCAGCCAGCTTTATAGCCGGGCCTGCGCTGCCAACCCTGGCGGATCTCGCCACTACCGTATACTTAAACACATTAAGTTCGGTTTCGCGGTTCTAGCTGGGCTTTCGGGGACATGGTCAGGTTAGGTGCAAGAACATGAAACGACCAAACACATTGCCGTCAAGTATCTGGCTCTGTCTGGCCAGACAGATGATTCTGGTTTGGTTTTAAGAGGCATGCTTATGTTGGGTGTAAGAAGATTAAGTGACCACACACATTGCCATCCGGGCGCCAAACGACCGCTGCTGGCGACGCGCCGTTAAGCCCAAATAGCAAGACATAGCCGCCAAAATTAGCCTAAGACACAACCGGATGACTACAAATGCGGGAAACCTGTTTGCGTGGTTTTCTTATTCGGTTGTTTCTGACGCTAATCTTGACAATAACGCCACGAGGGTTAGCTATGCTCTCCTACTTAACTATTATTAACTTCCCTATCGGAGAGGTGCTGGCTGTCTCATCGACAGCGAGCAACGCTCTGTTATCGGAGACAAAAGAAACTCTGTCCATTATCCTGGCCCCATGCGTTTGCGCAACTCATTAGCTTTTTTCGACCTGTCTGCTCGGCTCCAGTATTGTCTTAATGGTGTCACCGGGCCATACGCAGTGACTGAAACACACCATTTTCCACGCTTAGGATCGGCAGCGTTCGGGCACGGGCCCTGGTGCAGAGCTACCCGCTTATAACCGATAAGACGGGCTGCAGACCCTGCTGACTATTGGGTGGTTGGTTAGATCCGCTCCCCCTCCCCCCAAAAAAACAATGACCCTATGCCGTAGCTAATATAAAACTGGTATGGATGACTGCCCCAAGGGACAATTTCCAACCCTGTTGGTTTGGCTAGTATTGCCGCCGGTACCAACTTTCAATGCATTCGATGCAGGTTCACATTTCCTCTGCTAGGCACCGCTAGTCTAGGCACCGCTAAGGTACCCCAGCCAGAAGTTCGGCACTGGCCGCAGACACACGGTCAGCATAATCTCACCATCCACCAGCAATCCTCGCCTCCCTCATCAAAGAGCGACTGCCACTGCCCCGTGCACGGTCCCACGGGCCCAGCTGCGCCCCGTCGCCTTGTTAGCGGCGAGGGACCGCTGGGGCCCGGACGAGCCCTCCCGGATGCTGGCGCCGGGCGGACCGGGGCCCGCGCCGCCGACGGGGCGCGCGCCCGCTGATTGGCGCAGCCTGCCACCGCCGGCCGCTGATTGGTCGGCAGTGACGTGCGGCTGGGCGGCACGCACGAACCAACGTAAACACTAGCCTCCGACGAGGCTGCGCCGCCGCCGACTCAGCCACGAGTGTGCTCGCGCCGAGCACTGCCCCGCACGCATAAGGCGACGCATCTCGCGAAGAATACGGCACCGCCAGCCAGGAGGAGCGGGGAGGGGGGGGGGGGGGGAGAAGACCGCGGGCGGCCGAGGTGGGCCTCTCGCAACTACGGAGGCGGCTTTCAGCGGAATTTTGACGGGCAACTCGCTCCGTCGTGCAGCATGGCTTACTGGAGAATGCGGACGCCCCGACGCCGTCCACGATCCATGCGCGGCGCGTGGGCACCGACATTAATCAGGCACGTTTTCGTACGGCTTGGAGCAGCGCTAATTTCTGCAGATGTCTGTGTTTTCTAAGATCTGTCACGAATAGCTGACAGCTCGTGGCTATAACACGGATCATTACGAGATCGAGTGACAGCTGGCGCGTCGACACCCGAGAGTGTTGCAGTCCGGCCACGTCGCCTACTCCTGGCGCCTGGGTGGCAGCGACCGCAGCGCCTGGGATTGCTGGCCCATGCCAGGCGCGGCACACTCGAGCTCGCTGGTGCCGGCTCAGCCAGGGCGAAGGACCTGACCGACACACCCGCCTGCCGGCTCCAGGCATCGGAGCGATGCCACATCCCGCAGACGGTGGCTCAGCCGGCAGCAGACTGATCGGCCACAGCTGGCTCCGTCCGGCATGGGAGTGATGCCACATACCGCAGATGGTGGCCCAGCCGGCAGCAGACTGATCGGCCACAGCTGGCTCCGTCCGGCATGGGAGCGATGCCACATCCCGCAGACGGTGGCTCAGTTTATGACCCGTAAACTGCTGAGAAGTGACAATAATCACATGTCTGAAAACGATGTGGGACGGATAGGAATAAGTGCCACGGCTGAAGGTTCCGTTCCCAGTTTAGCTACGGGCTTCGGTGACTTCACCCACATTGCTAGTCTTTATCACTTTCTGGTTAAGAAACCTAAAACCAGGTATCCTGTGAACACGAACTGATCATGGTTCATCCTTTCCTGAAACCTGCCCACCAAGGGGAGCGAACATTAGAAAATAAACCAGCAAAAATACGGCTATACACCTGGAATACGCCATGAAATTCACTAAGTTGAGAGTCAAGACAATAAACATTGTCCGCGCTGGCAGCCAAGCAAGCGGCACACCAACCAAGAGAAGTGACTTAAAAGAAGACACAAAACAAGACAGAAATGAGTGGGTAGATTGTAGTCCACAGAGACTTTCTATCAACAAAACGTGGAAACCTCTCAGATATTGAGGGGGGGGGGGGGAGTCGCTCGGTGCCCTGTTTACACGTGATAGTGGAACTTTCCCTGCAATATGTACAACACGTCTAGTACATGCAAGCTAAAAAATGCCACCACAACTATTCCTGGCATTTCCCATGGGCGTTACACGCCTAGCAACTATCTGTGGGAAGTCCCAGAACACACGTTCACACCAGCAGTGGTGGCGAGTTTAAAACGACCAAAGCAACGGTGGTGTGGCATAACCAGCGTGATTGATTTTTTAAAGAAAATTCTTCCGTTTCCGATTCGACCGCGGCACAGACCGGCCAGCAGCAAGCCTCCGCCGGGCCGTCGGCCGTGACTGGACTCAGCCGGCTCGGTGGACTCGGCGGCACAGACCGGCCAGCAGCAGCCTCCGTCGGGCCGTTGGCCGTGGCTGGACTCAGCCGGCTCGGCGGCGCGGCGGCACAGACCGGCCAGCAGCAGCCTCAGCCGGGCCGTTGGCCGTGGCTGGACTAAGCCGGCTCGGTGGACTCGGAGGCACAGAACGGCCAGCAGCAGCCTCAGCCGGGCCGTCGGCCGGCAGGCGGGCACACGAGATCATAACACTCAACTGGCACCACCGGCATTGATATGCCGCAGAATGACATATTGCGATGAACAGCGATGCGTTTGGGCCGTGGCTACTGCCCTTCTGCTTATAGGTGTACGCGTACCGGTGCGTGTACCGACGCGCGTATACTCTTGTACGATCTATCTAGAGATTCGGACCAACTTAGATCTACGCTCTAAGTTAGAATGGACTGCTGGTTTCTGAACATTTACCCAACGACGCCGATGGAATGATCGCGTTCACAAACAGTTCACAGCACTGACTTACCTTTTATCTTCCTCCTCGATCTGTTTGACGATTTCATCAATCACGGCTTTGTCCTTCAGGAACTGCTGGAATTCGCTCTCTTTTTGAAGATCTTTTTCGACAAACTGCTGTCTCAGGCCCTGAAAGAAGAACGAATCAGTAATTGCACAACAAATCCTAATGAATCAAACGAATACTTTCCATGAGGAGCGTAGCAAATTTACCCGAGACCGCTAGATTGGAGCACGCTACAAAAATATTCAAAACCAAACTATCACCCAAGCCTAGCACACTCCTGTTGCTGTTTGATCCCGGCTATCAACCGTCACCGCCGGTCGGTGACTGGACCCACACGTGCGAGCACACTGCGTGGGCACACACATGAAGTGACGGATCCCAAGCCCAAGCAGTGCTTTCACGGAACTATGATATACCTCCATCACGACCTGCCTAAAACGGTCGTGACCACAGCCAGCTTACGCCATTAAGTCACGCTTTGTTCTCCGCGAGCTCTTCCAAAGATGGGCATAGCGAAAATTTGTTTTGGGTTCTAAGGTATAAAAGGTTTCAACGCATTCTATAAACTGATTTATTGTCTTTCTTTTTCTTGAGACTTTTCACACTGCAGCCATTCTACAAAACTTTGCCCTTCACACCAGGCCAGTGCAACTTTTCTCTGCCTGAGGTTTTCTCTTCACGCTGCAGTAATTCTCCGAACTCTTGGCCTTTACACGGACACGGATATATCGCCAAGCGGTACACATGCCTGCCGACTATGAAATAATGACGCCCACACGGCACAATAAGGGTGAGTCCCACCTAAGGGTGCTTTCATCATGGCAGCGTTTTAATCCGAAGCGTTGGAACCGGAGGCAAGGGGTAAAAGGGCAATAATTGGGATGTTTTGGTTTTATTGGGGTCAAAAAACGCATTAAGGGATACAATTTTTGCTTACCACGGCAGAGAAAGGTGTAAAAACTCTTGGTAGCCCAAGTCCCTACAAAATATTGAGTCAAACAAAGCAGGGTTTTTGGTTTAACAGGTAGAAAGTTACCGAACACTCAACTAATTCAGGCGGCATCCCAACCGTTGCAAGGACTTCCCCTTTCCATTGCCGTAATTCATGGAGCGTTTTAATCCACTGCAGAAGGCGAAGTGGGAAAGTATCAATGTATCAGGTGTCCCGGTATTGTTCCTTATTAAATGGCTTTTCGGAATGCAAATTTACAGCACCTAGAAAGGATGACATCAGGAAATGTTTCGGTATGATGGTGAGGCATTCACTGTAAAAAATAAAACGTCTTTTTCAAGGTAAATTTGATTCAAATGGTACTTACCCACACCATTAGCCACACAGGCAAAAGAGACTTGCAATACTCGTACCTAGTAATACACACTAGTCGTGAAAGATCGGAACAATTCAGGGTCATTCGTAAGGAGGAAGAAATAACACAGGACGATAAACTGCACATCATGACCACGTTTGCTTCTAAAAATACCGATCACAGATCATGACGCCGGTGGCTGGACTTGACAAAACAGCACACCGATCTTCCCGAAAACGCTGAGCAAGCATGTTTATGACGGACTGCTGCAGCTTTCCCCGGGTGTATCAACAGGTCCAAGGACTGATATATTGGATACTGCAGCGAGAGCCGGCAAAAATCCTGCGGTTCCGTCCGGGGTGGCCAACTGTTGCAACAAACGCTCATCACTCTTGCACTGACTCAAAGAGGAAGCTTTTCGTCACACAGGCAGACACGGAGGAACACGAGCAGCCCCATGAGCATGCTGTGGCGCCTCGCCCTGTACAAATCCATCCTAAGGAAACGAACAGCTGCGTGCTGGGATAAGCCAGCTGCTGATCGGTGGTCCCACGAGGTCCGGTCGTGTACCCAGCACCAAACCCGTTTAACGTCGGACAGCGTGACACGCAGCGCTTACATGTAGATAAATTTAGAACGCGTCATTGAAGTTTTTCTCCGGAGCCGTCGCCGCCACAAGACATCTGATGTTAACGCGACAGACCAGCTACTTGCGGGCAGCAGTGAGATGAGCGGACACTTCGCGTCCAGGGCTATTCATAAACCGAAAAGAATGAGGGACTTCAGTTAAATCCCTCAGTAGATGGCGATCTCTCATATTTATCCCATGTGGAATTCACGTGACGCGTCATTGCGCCTGTCGCGAGGGAGCGACTCTAGCCCGATCAACACGCTGCAAATGAAGGCAGAACTAGGAAAACTTTTCACTGGTTGCATTTCATCACTGGATAACAAATCCACAATCATCTTCCGATCGGCTACGTTCTGGAGCACAGAAACATTGGAACTCCAATGTAACAAGTTTATTGCATTGCGAGTGTGAGACATCACCGGCGACAAGCTTATTGCCCTGTCCTTGCGGGCGGGTGGTCCGCGGGAAGCACACCGTATCTCAGTCCGAGTGACCGCACATACGCGACTCGACGTCATCAGCGCAGCCAAGAGGCGTCGCGGCGCCTTCTGTGGCTCTTGTCGCCGCTCAGCCGCAGCTGCCCTAGTGGGAAGGTGCACCTCCAGCAAGGCAAACGCGAGAGTGGCGGCCGCCTCGCCGCGGCAGGGCTCCGCACAATCTGTCACGTATGGTGACAAATGGTGCCCAATCAAGTCACGGCACCTCTCCGCTCCAGGCGTAGCGGGAGTTTTGACGTTTGGCTTTGTGCTACGTGGGAGGGAACATCCAAGGTTTGCTCGGCACAAGCATAATGCAGGGTCTAAACCGATCATGTGAAATACCGCGGCTTGCCAGCAGCGCAACACGAGAGGTGCACCTGTTTCCACCCACCGACTCGTGGTCACCCATTATCTCTGGAGGCTACGGCGGCCAGCCATCCCACCCGCCTCGTCGGCTCCGACTCGCGGCCAAGGGCCCCGGCGAGGCACGCGCCGCCCTCGACGCCCCGTCGCAGCCGCGCCGCGACCTTGACGGCGGCTGTTCTGCGTGAGCTCGCCCTTCCGCCGGCTCTGGCGTGGTGCGCAGTCTAAGTAACCCTCGTTATCGGATACAGAACCTCGCCGACCGTGAGTCACCGAGCGTTAACACGACCTTCTAGGGCCCACGGAGAGACCTCCACCCCATGCAGAGCGGCACCAGCGAAATGGAAAAATACCACTCGAATGGGCGTGGATGCAGCAACCTCGCCTGAACCCGGATACAGACTACGACGTCCCGAGATCTCACGGTGCTAAGCATCTGTAGGCAATGGGGCGGTCAGTGGGATCCAGTTGTAGGAAGTGCTTAAGTGCTTCTGCCGGTTCCAACACTGTTATCTATGATTGCCGCACGCAGACGTAATATCCGCGCACGTTTTCACAAAGTGGAGGCCGGCACCTGCGCCAGAAATAACAAAACACCACCCAAATTGCAGGCCTAATATCACGAGCGTGCGGGCCGGATTCGCAGAATAGCATCCTGCCGTTTCACGTCCAGTGGCGTAAGTTACACGAAGTCTATTTGGTGCCACCGCGAAATGCGGCTCGTTTCGAAACGCTTGCAGGATGCGGACCAGAATTAGGACTAGCGGTGCCCGGAAATATCCGGGTAGGGAGGAAACATGGCAACAAACGCCGGCCAGCCGGCCTTAGGACTTCCCGCACAATACCCCGCTTGGCTCGCCATGCATGTACACGCTCGTTTGCAAACCAGATGCATCCAAACCTACGTGGCGTCGTTTGGGGTTGATGCAGTTCACATGCTAACGCCGATGCTAATCGAATCGCCGACACGCCAGTCTACAAGCGATGCCAGTTAAATGGCTAATACGAAGACTGATAATAAATACATGCCGTTAAATACGGGCACGGCAAAATCTCGCATCCAGGGTACCATAACAATGCGCCGGAAGCTTAAGTACCACTATCCTTATATTTAACAAGTCCGCTCGCCCAATGGTCCTCCATCCCATGGCCATCAAAGGCAGAGCCGCCAAGCGCTCACGAAGGTTCTTACAAACAACACGCGCCCGTAGTCGCCCAGCATGTCCTGGACAGGCGGGTCGCTACTCCACGACAACAGGGGGCTCCAGCTGGACAGTCTCCCCGTGCTAGTGTGGGCACCACCTGCTCGCTCGGCACGTAGTGGAAGGTCGACCGACTGACGTGCCGCGGCCATACCCAGCGCCTGTCACTGGCTGGTCCTCGTCAATCACGTACAGGCTCAGGTTTGTTTCCCGAGCCGTGGCTCAAACCGAAATCGCGAATCGCCTTTCTCCCTTTGTTACCCGTCACGATTTTCGACTCACCTGCTTTTCCATCTCTCCTCTTCCGTGATCTCGTCTCGGCACGTCACGCCCCCTCTGTCTTCTCACCTATCTCATCCTCCGTTTGTCCTGCCTATCTTCCTCACCTCGAGGTATCTGGTGCTTTCCACCAGCCTCTTCTGCTCTTTCTCCTGCGTTTCGAAGTCGTGCTTCTTCCTGTACTCGTCCAGCGCCTCCCGCTCCCGCTCCTTCTCCATCTGAAACCGAACGCGCGCTCGTCAGCGGTCAGCGGGACCCCGAGCACGAGTCCGTCAGCCGGTAAGGCTGCCGCCGCCCGGTCGGCGCTCGCGCGCGGCCGCGGCCCGCCACCAGCCAGGTGATGTCAGCTCAGAGCGGCATCCGGGATGGAACATCGCCGGCCGTCGCCTGCTCCTTAGCGGGCGGCGATGGCGCAGATAGGGCGCTACGGCGGACGGCGCACGAGGCGGCCGACGGGCGGCGCGCCCCCGGCCAGCTGCTGGCCACACGGCTGCCGGCGGCGCCCCGGCTCTCGCGGACATCCGAGCACATGGGGGTAAAACGGAGGCACCACGGCACGGTGGGGGTCGAGGTGTGCATTTTGACCCGGCTGCGACGGCGTTCGCCGCCGGCAGACGCCTGCAGTTGTGAGCACGATGACAGCGGTGGACAGACGCAGCGGCAGTCAGCTCTCCGACCACCGCCACTGCGACGAGACGACGACGCGTCTCCAGTCCACTCTCGCACCATCTCCGATCACGCTCGTGCAAAACAGCACGAGCGTGATCGGAGACCAGGATCAGCGGCGGATGATGCAGAGTCATACAGGGGTGGCGACATGAGCGGCGGGTACTCGACAATCCCTCCACACGCCCCTAACGCGAGCCGCCACCTCGGCACAGCCGCCGGCGCGCGAGCCCTCCTCCCGCCTCCGGCCGGGACGGCAGCCCGCCCCACCCACGTGGGCCCGACCACGGCGCCGCTTCCGCCGCGTCCGAGGGTGCCGTCCGAAGATGTCGTCCGAAGGAACACAGGCCGTCCGGCTGTCGCCCCCGCCATCCGGCGGTGAACGGCGCCGACCGCCGGTTTGGCGCTATCTCTGCACGAGCCGGCGGCGTCCGCCCACCTGTGGCGGGGGTCATCAGGGCCGGGAGACACAGGCGTGCATCACGCCTGGACCAGGTGAGGAGCGGGAGACACAGGCGTGCATCCCACCTGGACCGGGTGAGGAGCGGGAGACACAGGCGTGCATCCCACCTGGACCAGGTGAGGAACGGGAGACGCGGATATGCATCACGCCTTGACCAGGTGAGGAGCGGGAGACGCGGATATGCATCACACCTTGACCGAGCGAGGAGCGGGAGACGCGGGCGTACACCACGGCCGTACCAGGTGAGGAAAGGAAGACATGGGCGCGCACCAGGACCGTACCAGGCGAGGACCTGACGCATCCGCGTCGTGCTGGGCCGTCGCCGCTGCTGGGGACGGGGTACGGCAGCTGCCGCAATAGCGCGCCCAGCACAGCTGGTCTCCACCGGTCGCATGCGCTGCCGGACGTCGCGACTTATATAACCAAGAAAGGCCTTGAACTACTAGCCATCCCGCATTATGAGGTCAGAGTTCCTATGCCGACGGTTATCGGTCTTCAGCAGGAGGTAGTGGTTATCCATTGCGACTTGGTGCATCGAAGGTCGGCCACTGCCAGCATAAGAGCTCCGAACTCACACGGAAGTCGCCCTAGTCGACCCACCACGCAGCACCCGTACAGGTCTGGTCTGGGCCGCAGCACGCGTCACTCTCGGCGCACAACGTCGCCATCTGGCGCACGCGCATCCCCCCCCCCCCCGCTGCTCGTTGCCATGGGCATGGCGGGCGGGCAACCAACCACATCACCAGAGGCATGCCAGTGCAGGAAACAGCGTGGCTGGGTCGTGGTGGGTGCCGACTAAAGCCGCCGCTTTTGAGATTTGGAATGCCCGCACTCGCCAGCGCCCAAAATTGAAAGCTCGCACCCACCAAGGATGGTAGGTGTCCCCCAAAAAGCCCGCACGGGCCCGCCAGTCTTATTTTGCATTTCCAGGCACACGTACCCAACATCGTAGCTGTAAGGAACCTTTAAACATATTCATCCCTTCCTTTGGGGTCAAATATACTTTGCGGACGGTTATTAAGCCGTGGTCTTCTGCTCCTGAAGCTACAGCACGCCATTAATTATGAAATGGCATGCATTGTATGGATGTAAAACTTTAAAATGAAATGTTACTTCCCTTTCTTATCATTTGTGAGCAAACAAATAGTTTTTTCAACTGGCACTTATAACTGACGAATGCTCGTTAATTATGTATAAAATGGTGGACAAGAAAACACAAGAAGGATTTTATGTGTAAAATACTTACTAATGCCCGGAACGTGGTAAGCACTACCCACTAGAAGCCCCGCGGGCTTTTAAAGCCTCGCTCTGCAAGCCTGCGAGCTCAAAAGTGGCAGCACTCGTGAGGACAAGGCCGCTCCCCGACCGCCTGCCCCGGCCGACCGTTCGACTGACGACGCTCCCCGACCGCCTGCCCCGGCCGAGCGCCCAACTGACGACGCTCCCCGGCCCCATGCCCCGGCCGAGCGTTCGACTGACGACGCTCCCCGGCTGCCTATCCCGGCCGAGCGTTCGACTGACGACCGCTTCCCACCCGAGCCTGCACCTCCCCCAACTGACGGCGCTCCCCGACCGCCTGCCCCGGCCGAGCGTTCAACTGACGACGCTCCCCGACAGCCTGCCGCGGCCGAGCGTTCGATTGACGACGCTCCCCGACCGCCTGCCCCGGCCGGGCGTTCGATTGACGACGCTCCCCGATCGCCTATCCCGGCCGAGCGCCCAACTGAAGAGCAGCTTCTGCCCCCGCCCCCTTTGGTAGGACCCAGTCGACGCACCTGGCCCTGCTGCAGCGGCATTCATCATGGGCGCATTTACTCGACGGCACCGCGGGCTGCTGGGTCCGCACCAGGCTACAAATGCTCACCTGCGGCTTGTGAAAGGGTCACTGCGATGGTGCTAACTCCATACGGAGCGCCGAGAAGTCACCATCACAGAGGACCAATGGTATGCCGAAGCACCATATAACTAGCTCCCCTCTCTGGCTACTGACGCCTCGTAACGTCTGTACCGTAACGTCCTCTGAGGGGGTCAGCAGTAACAGACAGCTGCGAGCGACCCGATCAGGGCTGACGATTCACTACTGATCAGCCGGGGACAAAGCGTCGGCCGACCTGACCCGACGGCTGACCCGACCCGCCCGCCCGCCCGCCGACCTGACCCGACCCGACCCGCCGTTCGACCTGACCCGACGACCGACCTGACCCGACCCGACCCGAACCGCCCGCCGACCTGACCCGACCCGACCCGAACCGCCCGCCGACCTGACCCGACCCGACCCGCCGTTCGACCTGACCCAACGGCCGACCTGACCCGACCCGACCCGACCCGCCCGCCGACCTGACCCGACCCGACCCGCCGTTCGACCTGACCCGACGGCCGACCTGACCCCCCCGCCGACCTAACCCGACCCGACCCGCCGTTCGACCCGACCCGCCGTTCGACCTGACCCGCCGTTCGACCTGACCCGACCGGACGCGGGGGGTCGACCCGAGCCAAGGACAGGGCGAGCGCGATGGGTGCCGGCGTGCCGTGACCAGCGCCGGCGGCGCGGCCGGGCCCGTCAGAGACTAGCGCTTACCGCACGCCGCTGGGCCACGTGCCAGAGAACCGCCCGTGCTCACGAGTCGGTGGAGGAGCGGCTCGTTACAACAGCGCAGCGCCGTGTCCGGCAAATTGTCGGCGTTTAGAGTACACACCTTGCATCCTTGTTTGGCTGTGCAGTGACGCCATCTAGTGCCACTACATAATCAGCATAGCGTCACTGCCTAACTGTACTTGGCGTCACTGCACAACCGTACGTAGCGCCGCCAGGCAAAGGCATGAAAGGCGTCACTGCATAACCGTACATGGCATCGCCAAGAACGACCATGCATAGCGTCACTGCATAACCGTACATGGCGTCGCCAAGAGCGGCCATGCATAGCGCCACTGCATAACCGTACATGGCGTCGCCAAGAACAGCCATGTACAGCGTCACTGCATAACCGTACATGACGTCGCCAAGAACAGCCATGCATAGCGCCATTGCATCGTGTTTTGTCTTACAAAGTTGGAACAAAAGACAGCTTCACTCTCGGTGGACCGTACGCATCGACTTATCACACGACCGCGAGGGTAAGTGACGCAGTTTTTACAGCGGCAATCCCGAGGTCAGTCGATCCAACAGTCGTTCGAGGTCGTTGACCTTATACCGCGGACACGGTTTGCGAAATCGTAACGCTACTCATCTGCTTGGCACGCCCACGATCATCAGATATCACACGTCAAAACATCACTGGAGCCCAGCAAACCGGCCGCTAAATCCGGCCTTATCCATTTCGCTGCGGCGTACTCGACGGCCCGCTGCGGTGGCGGTGGTGTCACCGAGAGCTGGCGCGAGCGGTCCCAGTGACGTCACGGCCCGTCGTGGACGCGCCGAGCCGGGCGGCCGTGTCGGCTGACGGACGCCGCGGCCCCGCCGCCGCCGTCGCCGGCCGCGACTCGGAGTCGGGATTTACGGCAGGTCCGGGTGGCCGCAGTCCGCCGACCGGCGCACGACAGATGGCGCCCGTCACGCCGCGTGACGGCCGCCGGACGACGTCACGCCGCCGCGTGATGAATGGTCGCGTCACGCGGCCGGACGCCGCGCGGCCCTCACGGCCGTGCACGATAAGCGCCGCGTTCAGACCGGCTTGGCTGATAAAGTGGGGACAGGGATGAAGCCAGAATAGCTTGGTCGTGCAATATATAATGTGATCTATATGAAGCTATCGTCATGTAGACTATACCAAGACGTAAGCGAAGGAAGCATGTTGGCTTTGGACACACACACACACCAATAGGTCGTATTAATGCATTGCAATGTCTTGCCTTCATGAGCATAGCAGATGCACGTGAAAGCGTGGTGCGTACTGACGTTTCGCTTTCGCGCACGCATTTACAAGTGGCATGAGTTAAAAATAGGCTGGCCATAAATTTCGCGATACCAGGCACTTCTAACAGACGAAATTAACACATTTTGAATGGCTTGCATTTTTCGCGAGCGTGACCAGTGCTGCGACAAACTCAATTAGCTCTGTGCCTGAGTGAATAATAGCCGCAACGAACCGGGCAACACGCCCATGCGGTTTGCAAGGCCCAGTTTACCTGTAGCATGGCGTGTTGTATTCAAGGCCAGTTTTGGAACAGCTGACAGCGGCCACTCCCTGATCTACTGCTGATGCACTTATAAGTTGGACTGCGTTTAGATTAGCTGGCTATTTGCAAACGGTGCCATCATCATCCAAACCAAAAAGCGTGAAAAAAGTGGAAAAGCGTCGGCTGCCGCGGCCCGCACCCGACGGCGTGGGACCGGCCGCAGGCGCCGGCCCACGCTGCTGCCCACGTATTGGCTGCTCCTTCCTGGTCGGGATATGCTAATCACGTGTCGCTGCGATTAAGGACCACCGAGATCGGGCATTGTGTTTGGCCAGTTGTCTCAGCTTTTCGCAACCGCGGGAGAGGGAGAGGGGTAAAATTACGACGATATTGCAATGTTGTGAAAGTATTTTACCTCATTAGTTTGGACGCAAACAAGCTGCACATATACAGTCCAACTTTCAAAGAATTGTGCTACTTGTTACTGAGACCTGCGTGGCAGTGCAATCAGCGTCCGCAAAAACGCCCGTCAAAAGCGTGCCACGCCCGGCCGGGTCAGGACCTTGGTACTTAAGTAAATCCCGTTAGCTGGCATTTGAATTCTCTGGAACTGCAGCCTCGCTCTTAGTTGCACTCATTTTGTGTAAAAAAAACAATGTGGGGAATACTGCGCCATTGATTTATATCTCAGCTTTGATACAACCGGGGTCATAGAGTATAAGCTGGGCTTACTGTCGCATCATTCCGGACAGCCCATCGATGGTTAACTGCGTCCCACATGAGCGCTTTCCACACATCCGGTCATGTCCCAAATCCTAAGTCAGAACACACGAACTGATCCCGCACGCTCTAAGTCACACATTCCCAGCGTTGGCGATAACCTTGCAGCGAATGAGGCGACAAAGCCTGAGGTCTGCTTAGCAGTACAGACGGCTGGGCCCATCAATCAGACGCGCTTCACATCCGGCTTGGCAGGCCTGAGTTCGTCTCATCGGCCAACGCATCCCCGGCAGCGTCGCACATGCCACCTGGCTTCAGTTTAAGAGCTGAAACACTCACCGAGCTCGTCTCATCCGCCAGCGCATCCCCGGCGGCGTCGCACTTGCTACCTGGCTTCAGTTTAGGAGCTGAAACACTGAAAAGGCTCGACCTATCCAATCCAATTCATCCCTAATTTGCGCAGAAGGGGTGGGGATGTTTAACGGCTCCCTCTTCTGTTTTGCCACCAAAAATCCGGCAGACATGGCGCTGGCAATCTGCAATTTCCGGTACCCACCAACACACGCGCCAGACACCTCGTGCCCCAAAATGGAGTTCAAGTCTTCCTAGGTCATGCAAATATGGCGTCATCAAATCGACGGGTAGTGAACAATTCTTGGTTTATCAACATTGGTCAACAATGGTGATTGAACTGAAAGGCCAGGCGCCGAGCAGCCACGTCAAAATGACGACACAAAGTCATCTCTTGTAGCAAAGTTGGTGCCTGATTTTCCTTCCTGTTTGTGCATGCTGCTTTAGGTCTTCATTCTGCTGATCCCCCACAGCTTGTGTCACGGGCTTAATGGGCGTCAGCCCAATCGCAAGCCATTTCAGGTTACGTCCAAATATCGTGAGTCACTATACATCTTTCGATTTTACGGAGCCCAACATGTCACTGCGTGTATTGACCCTCGCCCTTATAGACGGGGTCAATGCTACCTCCCGCCCTGTAAGGTTTTCTCAGGATACCTCTTCGACATGTTATACAATCACGCCTAAGTTTTCAGCAGCCTATGGGGCATCTATTGCACGTATTTTAACGCCAAAAACCTGTCCCTGTCATTTCTGATTTCGGAGCAGCGGCTGTCTTTTTAAGAACAGTAAACGGCGCTCCACGGCCGGCGCGAGCGGCCTGCGGCGGGCGGCACTCGACGATCCCGGCACCATAAAAATTTGCCCAAGAAACGTAAAACCATACACTATTGTATTCACGATTCAAGAATGCGATGGTGTATGGTGTATGTAAAGAAGACGCCCGTTTGCATTTCGTGACGCTATGTGGCATCTCTCGTACGTGAGCACGTGAAGCTGAGATAAAATTTCAGGAAAATTTGACCTTTGATCTCGCATAATCTGGCCAATAATTGAGCTCGGAACATAAAACGTAAAACCAACCGTTAGAGGTCATTCAGACCAAGCCACTGTTTTTTTAAATTTTATTAAGCTTTATCATTCTTAATTTGGAAAAGCAGAATGGGTCACATGCCCCCCCCCCCACAATATCAGTACGCGTTGTGGAAAACGGCGAATCAAGGCGAGGATTAACCTATCCCAGTCTCATTAAGTCGCATGCTTTCAAAATTGTCAGTTCATAACAGTATTTTGGGAAAAATTACAGGCCCATGACGTCATGAATGAATTGGTAACAAACGCATTGGCATGCATCGGGTTCGTACGATCCAGGGATATCTTGATTACGAAAATACTAGAAATAAACCTTAAATAGCCTCTCACAGAAAATCAATGGAAGTGAGTACAGCACCCGGTGGCAGGTTAATGTAAAATTACAACCCCGAGGCCAAACGTCCTCTGATGGTAATATACGGATGTAGATCAACCCAACAGACCATGAGCGGCCAAGACCACAAGTAGGTGGTCACGACGTGGTTCGCGCTGATAATGGGAAAGCGAGCTGTGCGAGTGAGGAGAACTTCAAGCGATTGGTGACCGAGCACGGCTAATCTCGTGCGAATCGCGTCAGGCTTGCGGCAATTCTCAGTAATTTCATGGACCAATAATTATGCATAACGAGCGCAAGGGTTGGGGGAAAAACTCGCGGAAAAGTCACTTAACGCTTCAAGTAAGTCAGAACCAACGATTACCTCACCACGTCGCAGGTGCAACGCAAAATGCGATACCACGCCGCAGACACGTGGCAGTACATTTGCCATACAAATGACCTCAGCTATCGCCTGTTCCTAACGCGCGCCCACGTGGCCGATACCACTCGCTCGGGTGGGAGGTCAACTTGACCCCCACCGATCTCAGGAACTGAGGGGGTTAGAGACGCCAAATTCACAGGATGTGCTGGCCTGTACGTGGAATCATCTAGGTCACATTTTGAGGATCCTAGATCATGACCTTCGGGTCTAATAAGGTCAAATAAGGTCAAAGTCTAAGTTGGTCTCCAAAGTGTCCCCAGAACCTAGACAGCTGTTCTAAGCAAAAGGGCACACGCTCATTTTAGGCCAGTGACCTGTCTGACCTTTCAAAGGTCATGGTGACCAAAATCATGCAGGACTGTTTTGAGTTTTGCACTTGAATAAGCGACAAAGATTTCGTCAGGCAGTATGTTCCACAAAACAAAACGTTAACATGGTCGTTTTAGGTCAGTGACCTATTCTGACCTTCAAGAAGTTCATGAAAAATGTCTAATGAGTTTTCTGTTATAAAAAATAAAATTAGCGCCAGAAACAACCCAATAAAACAAACCTTAGAGTAATGAAGCAGGTTGGTTTTGACCTTAGTCTGACCTTCATACATAATCCTAGGTTGATGGAATTGGGTCATTCAAGTGTTGTGTTGCCTAAGAAAGTATCGCAGAGATGCATGGTTTTGGTTAACATTCCGTTGTTCAATCACATTGAACGATTCCCTAAAAATCGACTTCGCTGAATCTATAGTCTGACTTTGACCTGCCGTAGGTCAGCCACATTACGAAGTACACATAATTTTTTATACCACACGTATTCGCTATTCAATTGTCTACAGCCATGCAAAATTTGTCCCGGCTATGCCGCGCCCTTCGGAAACCATTCCGAAAAACCCTCGGGGAGTTAATGGGGGGGGGGGCAATTTGACCCCCTACACGAGCGCGTGTCAAAACACCCCTTTTGATCCGTTCATCTAAAACCGCCAGGGAAACAAAATGGCTAATGATACACCCCAAGGTCATTTAGATGGCCAGGGACATCCCGATGGTGGGAAGGTACTTAGTGTGATTAAGGATTCAGAGACAGGTTCACGGCTCCCGCGTCAGTCGAGTCCACAAGGTCGAAGTTTCAGTTAGATCGTCACGAATTTCGAAGTGGTCAGGGGGGTTTTGAGGATTTACGGCTTCAAGGTCCACGGGCACTACGAACACGAGGCAGCCTCGGAGAACGACAGTAAGGTGTTGCATAACGGCCCAGACGTCCCAGCGATGCCAGTTCTGCGCAGTTTTCCACCGACCACGGCGTTGTTTAGCCGTCCTCCGCCATCCACGGCTAACCGGTGCGACCATCAGCATCGGCGCCGCCTGCTGGCGCCGTACCACCCATTCACACAGCTCCAACCGCAGCAACAGAACACAGCGTCCGGCGCCACCTGCTGGCCCCGTAACACACATTCACACAGCTCCAACAGCAGCAGAACACAGCACCGGCACCGTCTGCTGGCCCCGTAACACACATTCACACAGGTCCAACCGCAGCAACAGAACACAGCACCGGCGACGCCTGCTGGCCCCGTAACACACATTCACACAGCTCCAACAGCAACAGAACACAGCGTCCGGCGCCACCTGCTGGCCCCGTATAACACATTCACACAGCTCCAAGAGCAACAGAACACAGCACCGGCGTCGCCTGCTGGCCCCGCATCAAACATTCACACAGTTCCAACCGCAGCAACAGAACACAGCGATCGGCGCCACCTGCTGGCCCCGTAACACACATTCACACGGCTCCAACAGCAGCAACAGAACACGGTGTCCAGCGCACTGGAGGCCGAGCGGCGCTGGTCGGGCCGTGACCGCGGCGGCAACACCCACCTGCTGCCGGTGCTTCTCCAGCCGCTTCTGCTGCAGCTGCAGGTGGCGCTCCTTGTTGACGTAGGCCTGGTACAGCTGGCGCTCCAGCTGCTGCAGTTCCTCCGACTCCTGCCGCACGCGCTGCCTGCCGGGCAGACGGCGGCGCATCACCACCACGCTGCCGGGCAGTGCCTTCTCTGCTGTCGTCGCAGCACTTCTGCTATGGAAAGACTTCCAAAAAAGCCACTAATTTTTGCACCCACCAGCTCACGACGCACGACAAAAGCGTACCCATTTCGGTCATGAACCACTGGAGTCCGTGCGTCACTGGGGATTTAGGATGCGCTCAGCTACTGGGACTTCATGGTGTCGCCCCATCGAAGTCCTTCGGCACAAACTGCACAAAGTACAATCTTATCAATCCATTAAAGAGCAATGCCACTCGGGATGCATTTTTGGGGACGGGAGTTTCAGTGTACAAGCACGTATAAGCAGCTTCATTATGCGTGTCCTGTTCGGACCACATGACACAGCTGTCGAGCTCGTGTCCTCAAGTGCATGGATTTTCCATTGAATTGACAACTGCCGCTGAATTTTTCCATCGTGCTTCTCGCTCACTGTTGTTACGTTTTCTGTGTTGCGCGGGTTTACTTTGGCTCCATTTCAGTGCGGTAAAAGATTATTATTACATTTCATGACAAACTATCGTTTTTCAGTAAATTGCATGAATGTCTATGCAACTCAGCTATCACCAAAACATATATCATTTGCTTCGCCATCATGAGTTGGCAAACACTATATTGAAAAAACTCGATTCTTGAGCTTACTCTACATAGCCAATGCCTGCTTGATACACCATTCAACCAGTTTTAACAGCTAGTATCGTTGTTGCACTGAAGCTTCTTAATTTTAAACGTGAAAACATCTCGCGCTGTCCCTTTCACTTTAGTACCAGCAGAGTACACCTGAGTAAGCACGCTAGTTTCAGCGCATGGGATGGTTGCCCCGCGTCAGAAGTGTCAGAGCTACAGGACAACGCGATGAGGTGAGCGGGTATGAGCCTCTTAAACATGTGAGTGGATCTCTCTCTCTCTCTCTCTCTCTCTCTCTCTCTCTCTCTCTCTCTCTCTCTCTCTCTCTCTCTCTCTCTCTCTCTCTCTCTCTCTCTCTCTCTCCCTCTCTCTCTCTCTCTCTCTCTCCCCGCGGACCTTTGAAGTGATCCAGTGCGATTTACAGGTCTGACCGGGTTTTTAGGCTTTGGGTTCAATGAACACAAACCGCTTTTTCTGTACTAGTGGATGACCTAGGTAGACTTCTGAGTGTCATATAAAGCGATAGTCACGAGCGCCCACTAAAGGTGAAATTGCGGCAGTCTCCAGCGGAGGCACTCACCCTTTAGTGCCACACACACGAACTACCGCTGGCGCTGGTCTGGGGTGCCGCCATAGCACTGGATGTGGCTGGACAATCGTCACATCACGTACACATCAGGACGTTGGTAAGACCGAAAACATCATGACGATGCCACCACCTCCTCCTCCACGCCCTTGAACAATGTCGCTGATCAATGCTCGCTTGCAGGTCACTTCCGTCCTTCTCGCACATTATGCTGCAAATGACGCAAACCAAATTCGTCACTGGTAAAAATATCATCGCATTCTTCAGGACGCGCAAACCATAAAAAAGGCACATTGGTTTGCTTCTTCGCCTAGATTGCATTCAACCACCACTAAGTTCTGTGGTACCTCAATGGAAGGGTCCACTTTCGTCAATGTCATCGCCCATTTCACTGAGTTATTTTAGCCAAGGGCCGCGTATTTCCAGCACCGCGTGACACGGTGATGCATTGCACTCGCAAGCCACGTCGCTGACGTCATGATTTGCGCTCAGGATATCCTCTTGTATTTGCCATATCTTGCAAGCGAGTCGGTGTAAGTCAAGATCAGCGCCGGCTCAGCGCCCCACGGAGGTGACGTGTTCCGGAATTACCCGGCTCTTCCTTCGCCCGATGACAATACACAGCTCATGCATACGCCTTATTACATGCTGCCTTAATCTAACGCCGCACCTTGACATGTCGTACGTCAGGCACCGCGAACACAGCGCGCGCGCATTGGCATGCCGATTGCGTCGTTACGAGCCGACGCATAGCTTTAATCTGCGTTTGCGACTGTCGGGTAATGCGGGACAGCATGTCGACGAGCTGCTGCGAATCAGACAGCTTCGTGCTTCATATCAAGAATGTTAAAAAATGCAAAACGCTTAAAGTCCGAAACCCCGGGAATGGGTGCAAAATAACCGTTGCAGTCGACACGCCTTAAAACACTAATACACAAGAACTCGGAAAAACAGGACGGCAACTCGGGCTGAGTTACAGAAAACCAGGCCAAACCAAGGCCAAAAGGCAATTACCGTTTAGGCAATCGAGGAAATACACGTGGTTTTCACTACGGTGCAATGGGTTCTGCGCTACAAGACATTTTCTTCACTATGGTATGACCTCTACCAAATTATGAGTTATTATGCCGAGAATAACCGGCCTTCAAAATGGAGATATTCGTTCCACGAAGCTAATAAACAACCATTTGTAAACATTATGACAATACTCGAAGTTTTATTAAACAGCGCCTCTTGGTACATTGAAAGGACGGTTATTCCAGCATAAGAGCTGATGAAGCCGAAAAACCAGGGGCATATTTATTCTGCCTCATGCCCAGGGACGTTCCTTTCTGGATTACAAACGGATAACATTTTTTTATTGCACCGTAGTCTAACGTTCTCTACCTGCCCGTTCTAGGAAAAAAGGGCACTGACAGTAGCCCTCCTACTGCCAGTGTGAACTAACATCGAACTCCTCGTAGAAAACCAGGGAAATGCAGAGATGCGTTGATATTTGGGCAACACGGCTTTCTCGAAACGAACAGCAGAAGTAAACTCGGAATTACCTGCCGATGATCCTACTCGATTGTTCAGGCTTTTTTAAACAGCGAGTCGCATTTCTTTCAGGTTACCGACATTCAGGGAATTAAACAAGCAGCAATTGACATATATTTATACCATACCTAACTAAGGATCACTCAGTGCATACCTAACTAAGGATCAGAATATGCGAAAAAAACATGTGCATGCCAACGAATTCATGTAAACAGACGTCACGCATAACGCTTCATCCAAACATGCAAGCGATTTCAAGTAAACCGGTACACGTCACGCATTAATCATGCATGCAAACGATTTCAACTGAACAGGCGTTGCGCGCCACGCGTCAAGTATCACTAACGCATGTAAAAGATTTTAAGATAGCACACATCACACATCGAGGCGCTTACCACGTTCACATAATCGAGCATGATGAGCCCTCTACGTTAAGGTCTGGTCGCCGAGTGGACTCACTTATTCTCTTGTCTGGATGGTCCTGTACTCTGTAGATCACGTCGAGCTCTGAAAGGGGCATAGGGTCCATATCTCCCTGGATTTCAGCCTGAGCGTGTTTTGCCAAAAAATGGCCAACGAAAGGGGTATTCCCTGGTTGGTTTTTAGCTTCTCGCAGGGGTGCATTATATCTCGAACGAATCGGGCGCATCGACTCCCCGACACACACTATGTCCCTCCCATGCTTTTCACACAGTTTACACTTAATTTCGTAAACCACGTTTTTGCGTGTAATCCCCTAAACATGGGAGAGACATAGGCTATGTCGGGAAGTCCATGTGCCCTAATCGTTTGAGGTATAATGAGCACGTGCGAGAAGTCAAAAACAAAACAGGGAATACCCGTTTTGGTGACCTTTTTTTTACAAAATACGCTCAGGCTGAAATTTAGAGAGGTATGGACCCTATGCCCCTATTACAGCCCAAAATCATCACCAGAGCACAGGGCCATCCAGGCAGGAAAATACGTGAATCTATCCCCACAAAAAGCTGGCGACCAGACCTTAACGTCCAGGGCTCAGGATGCCCGATTATCCGAGCGTGTTAAGTGGCAGTAAGGTAAGTATATGGGGAATATTTGACGCGTTGTGCAGAGTACCAGTCAAATTAAAATCGATTGCATGTATAATTCATACGGGATATGTGGTGCCTGTTTAATTCAACTCGCTTGAATGTTTGAACGAGGCGCAATGCGTGATGCCTGCTTACCTGAATTGGCATGTATGCGTATTTTTCGCGTATTCTAATTCTCAGCTGGATATGCACTGTATCATAGTAATGGCTGGAAACTGCTCCTTGCTGAATCCCCTGAATGTTGATGACCTGTAGAAACTGTGGCTAACTGTTTCAACACACAAAAACACAGAACAATTGAGTAGAATGATCGGCAGGCAATTTTGAATCAAGTTTTGCTATTCGTTTCGATAGACATATTGCAGACATATCAACGCAGCTATATATCCATTCTCCTGTTTTTTTACGAGTAATAAGTATATTACTACTGTCTTATCTATATGCATAATGTTCCTCACGAATGCACTTAACAACTTACGTATCCCCGAACTCCACTCGGGGAAGATGATCCAAAGTCAGCTAATGTTTGGTTCCTTTAGTCCGACTTCTACAAAACATATCGTGCTTCTTGTCGCCGCGGAGAACTTCAGAGGAACTCGCGACACTCGCATTAATGGAGTATGCCTAGCCCAACGGGAATAAGTGATGATTTCTTAATGACTGCTCCTGATCCCTGCAGGTGCAGATCTCCCGAAGCCAAATCAGAGCATACCTTTCCCAAAAACGGCGGCGACACTCAGCATCTTACGCCTGCGCCCATCTTGCGGAATCTCGGATCAGGCGAACGAGGTTCGCAGCATGCTACGTTGACCTTCAACCGGGGCATGCAAAGAGCCCGCCGTAAAAAGCCCGCCGATCCGTCCCGTATCTTCAAGTCGCCTAATGGACTTTGATCACCTGCGCGATAGGAGCGAAGCGGTTTGTCTTCAAAACCCATGTTCATCGAGGAGAAGCGGGCTGTCTTCCAAAAACCGATGCTCAGCCGCCCCGACTGACGCCAGGCAGTACGCAAGCGAGACGACACAAACATGCCGGACAAATCTGCTTGGTCTTGCACCAATAAATTGCCGCATATATGTGTGGATGAGAATGAGCTGCGAGTGGTGCCCTTACGTCGCTGCTGTTTAGGCACTTCCGCTAA